CCGCCCGCCAGCCAGCCCGCCCGCCAGCCAGCCCGGCGAGGCGCAGGGGGCCGAGGGGGTTGGATGCTGGCAGGGCCCGAAGTGGGGGTAAATCCCGGCCGGGAGCGGCGGGGCGGGCCGCGGGCCGGGCCGGAGCGGGGTTCGCAGGTGGGGGCAGCGCTGGGACGGGTCTGGGCCAGGAATAACTGTCGCCTCGCCGCCTCCCTCGGCGGGGAGGACCCCGGCCCCCGTCCTTCCTCCGGCGTTCCCTCGCGTGTTCCCTCGCCGCCTCCGCGCGCCCACCCGTCGCCCTGCCAGGAGAGCCGCCCCCCCGGGACGAGAGGGCCGTCGGTGTGAGGAGGCCCGGGGACTGGGGAGAGACGGCGATCCCTCGCTCCCCCCCGCCGCAGCCGCCCCCGTTTCCAGCGGGGGAGCTGGGAGCGTGGGGGCGGAGGGGGGCCCGGGGCCGCGGAGTCCCCCGGCTGCCGGCCTGGGGGCCATGGAGCAGGTCCAGATGATCAACATCCAGCGGCTGCTGGAGGCGGCCGAGTATCTGGAGCGAAGGGAGAGAGGTAATGGGGGGAGGAGGGGTGCTGGGATAGCCGTCCTCCAGGAGGGGGGCCGGGGGGGGGGGGTTGGAGCGGGGTTGGGGTCAGAGATTCCCCCCGGAGGGGTGAGAGTGACCCTGGAGAAGGGGATCAGAGCAAGTGTTTGCTGGTGGGCTGGTGGTAAATCCCCAACCGTGGGGGGTTCGATGAGGGATGGGGCTGACAGGTCCTCCTGGAGGTGGTGGCTGAGGTGGAGGGCTTTTGCAGAGGGGGGGAGATTGAGGTGAAGGCGATTTCTGGAAGGAAAAGTGGGGATTGGTGTGAAAGTTTCCCACCGGGCAGGAAGGATGGTGGTGGGTGGCTCTGGCTTTGCAGCAGCCTCGATGGCACAGTGAAATACGCCTGGTTTGTCCGGTTCAGATAGCTTGGACAGGAGGAGAGAGATGAGGTGCTCTCTGTGCTGTCATGTTTTCTTTTGATGTTTTCAGGTGTTTGAGTGGTGGTGTCCTTCCTCCAAGGTTGGCAGAGCCTTTACACTCCCCTTCCTCTCTTTTCTCCACCTCCCAGTCCACTTCCCTCTGAATACATCATCAGTCATTTCCCTGAGCTGTTATGGTTAAGGGCCTCCCCAGCTAGGCTGACGGGTTAGTGGTGAGGCCTGCCTGCTGACTTCTTTTTTTTTTCTTTTCTTTTCCTTTTTTTTTTTTAATGACCCTTTTCTTTCTTTTTTTTATGCCCTGCCTGTTGATTCTTATGCAGAGTGCGAACATGGCTATGCCTCGACCTTCCCCTCAGTTCCAAGTCCTGGACTACAAGACCCAAAGCCCACGCGGAGGCTGAGCCGGGCAAGGAAACACAGCGGCAGTGGCAGCAATGCAAGTATTGCCAACAGGTACGATGCAGACAGGAAAGCGTGGGGTGCAGGGCTGGCCAGGAGGGTGAAGCTGGAGAAGAGCTGGAGGCAGAGGAGAGAAACTTACCCTGTGGGGAAAATGGGAAGAGCCTGAGCACAGGGGGATTCAGAGCTGGGACACACAAGTACAGCATCCATTCTGGATCCATAGCGCTGAGAGCAGAGGGGACACAGGGGAGCTGTATCTGAAGTGGCAATGCCAGCTGACTCTGTGCCAAGGCTCAGATGCTGCAGAGGGAAGGGGAATAGGGAGATCTGTTCATAGGGAGGACGTAGGTAATAGCTATTCCCATTATATACAGCTGATGTCTTTCCAACCCAGAAGTCACTGCTTTTAAGGGATAGCATGCGTGCAGCCTGGGTGCTTTGGGATTGTAATGACAGGCATGATTTGAAGCAAGGAAATGATGTTTTGAAATGGATCCCCTGCAACAAATGGGAGAGAGGGAGATGACTGGCTGCTCTGTACAATGTGTTAAAAATTCAGTTCAGGAAAACGAAGTTGTCTTTCAGTCTGCCTTTCAGGGCAGTGGGATTTCCCAGCTTTCTGATTGCTTGGTAATTGTAAAACTCCACATTTTTAACATTTCTCTTATTATGCAATGCCACATTTCTTGGTTTCTTGAATTTAGAAGACACAACAGGATTAAGCCTATCACTTGGTGCTGTGGTAGGATCTGCCTCTCCCCTCTTGTTCCTGTTCTTTTTGTTTTCCTTTGCTCCCTTCAGTAGAATTGTTCAGACCTTGTTGAGACCTTCTGGGATAGAGAAGCTTTAGAAAGATAAAGTATAATTTTGAAAAGGCAATTGCAAGCTTTCTTTTACTGCAGCAAGGCCTATGCAATCCATAAAATGGTGGCAGGTGGCTCAGGTGATTAAAGCTTTCTTAAGGCCATTGGGAAGGACCTGTAAAGGCCTAGGGGAAAGGTGCCTTTGCTTGAAGTGATTCTGCTTTGGCAGCATTTGATAATAAAGATTGTTTGAGGTGATGTTAGGACACCTTGCTGTGGGGAAGTTTTCTTCATCAGGATCAGCATATCCTGAGCTCTTTGTATGCTGCATTTTTACATTTGCTTCCCTCCTTCATCTAGCCTCTCCCCATTTCAGGGCAGTTGTAGCCCTTTACTGTTTCCCATGAACCAAAGTCCCAAATCCCAGTGACTTTGTGTTGGGAAATGATGGCAAATGCTGAATTGAGATCTGTATTTTTCCCCTCCAGGTTTCTCACATACTATGTTTCCATCCCACACCTCTTTCTCTCAAAGGCCTTTGTCATGGCAACCTGCCCTTCTCCAGAGGAGGGCTGAAAGCACATCCCCCTCAGGAGCCCCTTAGCACCGAATCCAGCAGCCTGTAGGCTAGAGAGGGATGCAGAGCACTCACTGTCCCTGGGGCCTGGGTGCTCAGTGTGCCCTGCCGGCACAGAGCCCCCAGGGACAGCTCTCATGGGCATCTTTCTGTGCTGAGACCAGCCCGCTGGGCCGTTTAGCGTCACAGGCTGAATATATTGATGTGGAGGGGAAAGACAACAGAGAAGCAGAAAAGATACTTTCTAGTCTTACTTAAAACCTTCATTATACAAGAAGTACTGAGGCCAAATTGAATCGTTAGAGTGTTACCCAGCATGTTGCCTCCCATGCTTGTTTCGGCTTCAGGGAGTGACCAGCATCAGGTCTGCTCCAGGCAGAGACCAGAGCAGGTCTTTTGGGGAGCTCAGACCTTATACTCACAGTTGGAAATGGAAGTTTCTTTTAGCACAAGTCGTAGCAGCTTGCACTTGCTGTAGGAGATGGCAGGCCTTCCAGATGGCTGCAGTGCCGGGAAGTGACAACTGTGAAGTTCAGGGTGCCTCCAAATTCGCTGCAGTGTGTTTTGTATGACACTGAGTATAGCATCAGCCTTGTTTAAGGAAGGCTCTGTATCATCCTTTCCCGTTAAAATCAAAGGGACAATCCAAGTTCTGTCTCCTGGAGTTAGAATGGACTTTGAATTAAATATCAAGTCCTTGATGAGGGGCAAAACTTAGGTTTCGTGTGTGGACAAGAGATGTTCTTAGATTGCTTTTGTCTCAAGGTGTTTAGTTAGTGTAGAGAAATTACGCATTTAGATCTCGTGCAGATCTTGTCATTTAAAAGCCTCCTGTAAAAATGTGTCTCAAGCAACCTTGGCAAAGCACAGTAGTTTTCTTTTTTTTTTTTTCTCCTTTATTTACACACTTTTAGAAATTGACACGTGCATTGTTACTGGTGTTTATTGAACCAAATGATCCATGATTATGTGGCACAGGGTATTTACAGAGCCTGGATGGTCTTTAATTCATAGTTTAAATCCAAGCATTACCCTTCAGCATTTGCAGCCCAGACATGACAGCTATTTCTTCCCAACAGGCTCTGTGCTGTCATGGCACAAACACCCAGAAAGTTCTGAGGAACAGGCAGCCCAGCTCTGGATGCCAATGGTGGAGCAAATCTTGTAGAACTACAATGGTCTCCCAGTCCCAGCAAAATAATTTTTTTCTACCCCAAACAGGGGTGTGCAGATAAGAGGGAAAACATTGCTTCGTTACTTCTGATTTACATGATGCATTTTTAAAGGAGGATGTTTTGGCTCAAGTTGTCTCTTCCTTCATGTCAGTTGTGCAACTGACAGCATGCAGATTGCTGCAGGGGGTTCCCCTCTGCAATCCTTGGGACATTATCTATGTGTATGTGTAGTGTTTTGCATGGGTATTTTAAAGACCTAGTGTTGCATGCTGTGAGTTAAAAGCTGAATATATTTAAAAATATGCAGTCTTGCTTTAGTCAGGGACATTTAGGTACTGAAAATTACCCACCTGCAGAAATATGTGGAGAATCACAGTCATTGTGACCTGGAGTTCGTAATAAACTCAAAATAAAGGGAAACTTTTTTGAAAAAATCCCATTTAACACATAGCTAAAAGCCAAAAACCGCGCAAATCAATTATCCAACCTGTATTAGATTAGAAATTAATTTTGCTTTTTTTTAATTTGCTCTTGACAAAAGTTTTGCCTGGTTTTTGGACTGGGATGAAAAATTTGCAGAGATTTATTGTAACATACAGTATCACTTATTTAATGTTCGTTCCTTCTGAAAGCGTTTCTGGGACAGAAGCTGAGTTCTAAAAACTCACTAGAGGAGTGAAGTAGTCCGTGCTGGGAGTACAGTTCTGTGGGTATGTTAACATGCATTCGATGTCACTAGAAACTGCTCTTACGGACCCTACATATGCAGTTCTAAATAGACCCAGTTATTTGAAAGGCTCATTGTAGTTAGTTAGGATTAGACTGGTTTGATATTTTTACATTTTGAAAAATAATTGAGAAGACTTTTTAATCAATTTAAATCATTGTGTCAGCAGGAAATAAAATAAACAGCAGGGATGCTAAATGATTTTTTTTTTTTCCCCCCATAATACAATCAGTTTAATGAAGTTAAGATTTATAACGGAATCTGAAATTATGTTACAATATTAGATTGTCATTTGTGTTTTGTTTTTATTTAGACTCTCAGGCATGTAGAAAAGCCCGTTATTTTTGGTCTGATCCTGGGGAAATGCCAAGCACCCTCCCAGTGGCGCTAGGAGCCTTCAGCTCTCCCGGGAGGCCCATGTTGTTAAGGGCACTCAAAGAATCTATTGCTCAGTTCCATGGGGGAGGGTTTGATCTCTGTCCAGTTTCTTTTTCCTTTCATTTTCCTCTCTTCCCATTATCCTCCCTTGTGTCTGAGGCTGCTTCCCAAGGGCCTTTCAGACATCTACAGTCCGGTAGCAGGTTGCCTGCAGTGCTTGGAATCAGCAGCTGTAATGGGTATGGTAAGGCATTTTGGACGTGGTGTCTTGAAAATCTGGGTGTCTGGGTTTCTTTACCCTTCTGGCTATTCTAGTGATGCAGCTCCTCATTTTCTCTGTTGCTCTCTCTTCTGCCCCATTTGGAACTTTTTTCCTCGCACTTCCAAATCCCATCACTTGGTTTTGTTCTGAATCTTCTCTGTAGCCCTCCACTCTCATAACCTTTGACGCTGTTTTTTGAGGGCAGGGATGGCAGCTGTACTATTGAAACCCTCAGGTACTCTTGGCTTTAAGCTTAATTTGCTCACAGTGTCCCTGAGCAAGGATTGTGGGGGGCAGGTAGGTGTGCATTAAGTACCTCATGTGCCTCAGGTGATGGCTTCATGTGCCACAGGTTCACAAACACAGGTGCAGAAGCTGAAAGGATGTGGCATGCATAGCTGCAAGTCAGCCTTGGCTGTCTGGTGCAGAAGAAAGCCTGATTTACCAGAACAGCAGTGCTGTGCAGCTGTACCTCACTGTGTAGGGGAGGAGTAGGGGGGTTGGTGAACACTTGCTTAAGTGCAGTTTTAAATATATTCTATCTTCGCTGTCAGAGGAGGTTCACTGCCCCCCACATTGTGCTGATGACCGAGTACCTGGTAATTTTCAGTCCTTCCTACAGCCTCTGAAGTTAGGACAGTGCTGTAATTCTGATTTTATTGGGGGAGAGGAGGTGCAGGGGCCTGAGTGGTTTGTCTGTCTTGTGTAGGAAATTCCTGAAAGAGCAAATCACCATTTCAGCCCATGTTGGTCTACTTTTCTGCACAAAGCCCCTACCCCTTTCTTCATGTCCCAGAGAGCTGGTCTCTGAGCTTTTTGTTGACAGCTTTGCTGCTTCCTAGCCTCTCTCAGTTGTTTTTTGTTTCTGGATGCTACTTTGTTTATTTGCTTGTGGCTTTTTTTTAGCCACTTGCACTTGCACTGGGTCACACCTTACTCCACAGCTAGTGGGAGTTGAGTTTTGATTCGCTGTGTGTAGGTGGGTTAGAATCTGGCCCTTGTGTAATATGCTGGGGATAGAGACTGCTTTCTGTCTCAAGCCTTGTAGTGCCAGGGAGCTCTATTCTTGGCTCAGGACTTGGCTTTGCTTCATAGAGTACAAATCCACATGTGTAAAACAGAGAATGGA